TGGAAATAGATTGTGGTATGGTTGTATGACATCGATAATAGAGTATCACTGAATTGTACACTTAAAACTGGTTAGAATGGCAAACTTTATGTTATGTATATTTTATCACAACTAAAAGAAAAAAGAAAAGAGATCATGGCTGTGGTCATAACCTGCTCGCCTTGCTTCTCCAGGCCATTTGTAGAATGGGGACACGTTCTTTAATGGGTATTAAAAAAAAAAAATCATTGAGGGTAGGGTGTAAACAGGCAGAGATAATGCATGATGTAGGACCATCAAATTAAAAGTGACATTTCTCTATTATTAACCCACAATTTCTCAGCAAAGGAAAAGCTCTAAGCTGGCACTGGAAAAATGCCAGTTCCATAAGCGATTTAATTTTTCTGGATAGGGTATAAAATAACTGCGAAAACCATAAGAGGTACCATATGGCACCAAAGAAAGGGGGAAAAAGAGTTCTTTCTTGTTGTTGTTATTACTCAATGAACAATTAGTTCTCTATTCTCCTAAACACATTAAGGTGCTGTTAAGAGAAAAATTTCAAAAGTGTCAAGAAGACATATCCTAAGTGGAAATAAAGTTGAAAAGATAAATAAAATGAGCATTCCTTTAGCTATATTTGGTGGAGTCCTGCAGAGAAAAAATATTCCAGCTGGGCAGCATTGAGACAGAGTTTATTAATGCAGTTTCCCCCACAGCAGGACATAGAAAGAGAAATTGGTAAAACAGTCACATTAAAAAATTATGACTCCTACATCTGATCTTTATGAATACACAGAAAAGAAACTGTCCTCTTGAGTCGTCCTTGGGCCATGTTAAGGCAGAGATGCAAAGGATTTTTTTCCCCCTCCAAAGCCTCACAACAGCACTATTTGCTCACACGTGGTTGGAACAGACTGCAAGTTACTTTCCACATTAAGGGACTCTTAAAGGTGTTTATAAGCAGAACTTAGGGAAGATTTGGAGCAGTTCTCCCAAATATATTTTGAAATAAAGCACTTCAGTCTTCTGTTTTTTAAAGAGTATACCAAATTGAAGCCTGTATTCCTTTTGGGGAAAAATTGTAGTCAGTGATAAACTGGTTATAAATGGAATTCTCTGGCATCTTAGAGCTGGAAATGAGCTTACCCATCATCATCTAATTCAGTGTTTTGCAGGGGCTAGTCTATACCCCACTAATGAGTTATGAAATCAGTTTAGAGGGTCACAGCTAACACTGGGAAGTAAAGGGAGAGGAGGGATAGACTAAAATTGAATTGAATATTAAAAGCATTTTGCATATACTGTTTTGAGAAACTTTTGTTTCAGCTGTATGCCTCTGTGTGTGTGTGCGTGTTTGTGTGTGTGTGTGTGTGTTCTTCTTTGTGTGTACATGCTGGTTCACAATGTAAAGTGTATGCCTTACTGTGAGTTCTGGTCAAAAAAATGGGAAAGTCAAACAATGTACTCCAACACTTTCTGTTCCAGGTAAGACACCTGGAACCAGATGGGGGGAAATGACTTTCTCAAGTGACATGTGAGTCAGAAGGAGCCCCCGGCTCTTGACTCCCAGGATCCTTAACGTTCGACTCTAATGAGGGAAGCATACTTAGAGGTGGGTGTCAACTCTTGCTCTGTGGTTTCCATACCAACCCTGCAGCTGGCATTCTAGTCTCTTCTGGAGCAATGGCTGTGCTTCTGGATCAACTGGACTCCCCTTTCTCCTTCACTACTAATTCTGCCAACCTTTCACCATATAGCATCTGTGGGTCTGTGAGCTGGAGCAGGTGTGGGGATGGACAAATAATCTGCGCTTGGGCTTGGATGATCCACGACTACTGGATAGCTCAGAAGGTGCAAAATGCCACAGCTCACTGCAGCCTGGAGTTGAAGAGCCACGTGAGAAACAGAATCACAGCCTCCCTGTGAAAAAAGAGGGGGTGCCTGTGACCACTCGCATAGAAGACATTCTCAGAAAGGAGACAACCAGCTGACAACTGTGGGCTTTAGGTAATTCCTGCCAGACTCATGCACTCTGGCTGGTCTTCCTGAGCCAAAATAGAAGCATGCAGAGAGTGTTCTATAATTGCAAAGATAAAGAAGGATTATGAATGTGGATCCTGCCTGCGACTCAGAGCGCCTCTGATTTTGACTTAGAGGAGAAAGTGACCTCCCTCACCAAGGAACAAACACTTATATTGTGTTTATTATGTGCCAGGCACTGTTCTGAGAATATTAACAAATATTTACTCCTTTAATCCACATAATCAACCTTTAAGCCTTACAGGGTTCTTCTAGCTGCAGCCATAGGCAGGTTGAGAAGAGTTGAGATGTGTTAAAATAATGTGTTTTCCTTCCTGACTCGAAGACAGGAGGGCAAATACTCTTAATAGTGTAGAACTATGTCACTGATGAAGGGAATTAATCAATACTCAAATCCAAGGAGAAAAGGTCAACTGCCTATTTTGTCTTGGCAGAAGGAATCGAGAGGAGGATTGTTCTTGCAAAGAGTCATCACTTTTTGATGCTTTCTAGAAGTGGTGATGGATCTGCAAGAAGGCATTTACTTAAAAAATATTACCCTCCTGTATTTGGAGGATAGCTGCTTTGGTGCGAGGCATCTGCTGGGGTGCAGAAACCACACTTGCAGACCCGTGTAGAGATCAGACCTGTGCCCTGGGCCTTATCCAGTGCTTTGCATAGTGGCGGGAGGCGGTCCTTGGTACTTTGCTGAATTCATTTATTACCACACTTCAAACACTGAACCTGACCTTGGAAACTGCTAGGTTTGGCTTTGATGATGAAAATTAGTCGGGGTTTACTGAGTGTAAGAAGGGCAAGAGGTTTTTTAAAGATGAAGAGGAAGTGGAATTTTTTTTTGAAGTACCTATTACATGCCCCTTATGTTTTATATGTTAACATTAAGTCCCACAATACTCTGATCGAATTTCCATTTCATAGATGAGAGAACTAAGTTAAATGATTTGCTGAAAGTAAATAGGTAAGGGACAGAATTCAGAATATATTTTGCCTGCAGAATCCATTACTCTTTCCACATCATGCTGCAGCCTGAAAGTTTGGGTTTTCTTTTCTTCTTCTTTTTTTTTTTTTCTGAAAAATTATTTGGCCCTACCAGTATTCACTGACCATGGCAAATCTTTAATTGATCTTTCCATGCCATGGCCTACCAATTATCCACAAGGAATAGCAACAGTTAAAGCCTGTTCTCTGTAATTAAGTCTGGGTTCCCTTACCAACCCCACCATGTAATTAAACTTATTTCTCAAACAGGCAGATATGGTTCACTAAAGAATCTGAGAAGAGCCATTTAAATTATGCTTAGTTTCTTGCTTTGGGTTAATGGCCAAGTCTGGGCTTGGAACTGAAGTTTAAGAGGAATGTAGGGAATGTTGCTGGCCCAGAACTCACCAGGGTTGACTCTACACGGGAGTCAGGGTGTATTTCCTGCATGGTCTGTGAAACTTATTTCTGCTTATTGTTTTCCTCGATGAACATGTTGGGCAAAAATGCAGGTTGCTAAATATTTATCCTTTTCTGGAAACAGCCTTGGTTGACTTAGGCAGCAAATCTCACATAGTTATCAATCATCAGAAATGGAAAATGTTTCTTTTTGAAGGGTGTAATTATCAGAGGTCTCACATGAACAATGTCTTAAAAAAAAAGATATTTCCCATATCAGTACATTCTGTGGCTGTACTAATGAAAAAATTTGGCTTGTCCCACAAAGTTTATGGACTTCACTTTTTTTTCAGTTGAAGTAAGATTTGACTTAGCATCAGGCACTGAAAGTGTAAGGATAGTATTAAATAGTGAAATTATACAGGCTGTGTTGTAATGTGGAGTGAGAAGGGGAACCCACAGAGATTCAATTATCCTCAGGAGTCTATAAAACCCTAGGTTTACAAATGCACATCAAATAAATAACTATTAGAGTAACCAAAAGTTGCTTTGAGTTAAAAGTCATTAAATAAAAATAAGATAATACGCAAGATCACTTGGACCCAGACATCAAATAAAACGTCAAGATAAAACACCAGTGGGTTGTAAAACAAACACAAACCAAACCCCTCTCTTCTTCCCCCATGGGTCAAAAAAGGAGCTTAAGACAATCCGAAAGTATTTCTAAGTTTGCAGTCCCCAAAATGTAAGGAATCAAAGGTCTCATACAAAGTACTGCCCACTTTCTTGGTCTCACCATGACTGTTATAGGGGCTTATGCAATTAATACCTGGAAAAAAACCCACACAACCTCTTAAGAGGGTTGGATGAGTCCTGGTCTCCTGGATGCAATGGAATTTATGCCAGGAGATTTTTTTTTTTTTATGCCAGGAGGTTAAAGAGAACAATTAATTTATGACTTTCTCTGTTTGCAATATGTGCTCCGCTTGTTGTCTGTACATATTGTGATGCATGGTAATTACAATGCTGAAAAAAATGTGCAACACGTGCCCATTGTAGTTAGGCTTAAAAAGGGGGCATTTGTCATTTTAGTCTGCACATCTGGTTCTATCATATTTGCCAAATGATTAATATAGGAATATATCACAGTGAAATCCTTTTATATCAGTTTTATTTGCCAGGAAATAGAATCCTTTCCTCTCCCTCCCCCACATTCTCTACTGAACTCTTGAAATTTCCTGCACTACGGTTCATTTGAGTGAACAGGACAGAGAAACTGCTCTTGTCTTTGTTCAATTCTGTTAGTTCCGGTAATCACAACTGGGATATATATGCATCCTTTGTTTTAAAAAGCACACACACAAGGGAGAAACCCTAAAGCTTATTCTAAAAGCAGGTAGGGCATCAGAGATCTCCCACAGTTAAAACCACAGAAATTAAATTCTAAATTTTAAACTCCCTTTTATTGAAATATAAGTTTGTTTAGTATATTTACAACACACTTTATGCACATATATACACAGAAGGCAAATTTTGTCAAATAAAAAAGTTTTTCTTAATAAAAAACTAAAATAAAAACAAAGTAAAGTGCATGAAACTCATTTTCTTCTGGTGAACATCATCATTGTCAAAATTTTGGTCGGAGGGGAGGGGGGAGGAAGAAGAAATTCATTACTTGACTCAGTGCAATACGGCCGGTCCTGCATTTGTAGCCTTTAGGCCAAAAAGACATGGGGTAAGGAACAAGTCAGACAAATTGTCAGGGTCTGGAGGACCCCCCCCTCCCGTTCTGAAGGTCTTGCTCTCTTTGTCCTATCGGGAGCCTCCCCCACCCCTTCCTAACAGTGATCTCACCATGAACGGTGCTGGAACAAAGGCAGAACACAGGAAGGGGGCTCCACCAGCCAATGTCACAGCCCTGCTCCGGGGCCACCAGCGCGTATTTGGGGAGAAAATGCACAATTAGCTCAACGGCTCAAATAGAAGTTTTCCTTTTTCGGAAAGGGGAATGAGGGGGCCAGGGAATGGGATGCATCTCCCACAGAGACGGCCAGCCGGGGGCCAGACTCCGGCCGCCAGTTTCTTCGGATCCAAACTCCGTGCTGACGCAGGGCAGAATCCTTTTATAGGCTGGGCGGAGGGGCTGTTACACTTCTCGCCCCGGTGAGCTCGTCCTCCCCGAACTTGGGAAAGGAAACAGCGCGAGGCTGAGAGAAAGGGGCAGGTGGGTGAAGCCGTGAAGTTTCAGCCTCCATGCCGCTGGGGCCACTGGCTGGGCGTTGGCCGGTCCCAGGCGGTGGCCGAGGCGACGGCCCTTCCCCCATCATCCATTCCCCAGCCAGGGGGTCTCTCCCTCTCTTCTTCCGGGGGACGCTAAGTCCCCGGTCGGCGGCCGTACTTGGCCTTACAGTGCAAAATGTGCTTGGCGAGGAAGTCGAGGCGGCGCTGCAGCAGCTGAGCGTGGGGATCGGCGAGCGCGGCCAGCTCCGGGAAGCGAGGCTCGTGGTGCTGGTAGAGGCGCAGCAGCCGGGCGGCCGCGTCCTGGCCGCGGTGCAGCTCTAGGACGCGCCGCGCTGTCCGCTCGCGGAACACGCACACCGACTGCAGCAGCGGCTCGTTATACTTGTCCCACATGCCCGCCACCCGGTAGCCGTGCACCAAGCCCGCCTCGTTGTCCAGAAAGACCAGCGCCCCGCCGGGGCCGCGGTGCAGGTTGCTGGTGGCGCGCTGCATGACGCGCGGGTCCCACTGCAGGCTGAAGAGATTGCTGACAAGCCGGTCGAAGTTGGCCGTCAGATAGTCGAAAAGGATCAAGTCGGTCCACTGCACCAGGTCCACCAGCTCCGCCTGGCTGCGGTTGGCCAGCTCGTCCCCGGCGGCACGCAGGGGCCGCAGCTGGCCGTCCTCGGAGCGCCAGGGCGCGGGCACCACCACGTCGGTGAGGTTGGGCAGCCAGCGCGTCAGGCTCACCACGCTGCCCTCCGTCCAGTGCGCCGCGCGAAGCTCCTCCTGCACCTGCGCCCACTGCGCGCCGCGAGCCTCCACCCGGGCCAGTGCCAGCGGCGGCACGTGGCGCTGGAGGCCCAGCAGGCGCGCCAGGTAGTAGGACAGGGCCTCGCCCTGTATCTGCTCAGGGTTGATGCCGTAGCGCACGCAGGCGCGGGTGCCGTCGGAGAAGCGAGCCAGCCGGTTGGAGCTGCGCCCGCAGCCGCCGCGCTCCAGGGCCACCACCCGGGCGCCGCGTGCCGCCTCCAGCCACGCCGCCGCCTGCGACTCGGAGAAGCCGCGGGGCACCTGCTCCTCCAAGCCGCGGCTCCAGAAGACGCCCCCGTGCACCGCGGCGCGCCCCTCGGGACCCGGCCGCCCGGCTGGCACGTGCCGCCCGCGCTCACCCGGTGGCCTCCGGGGCTGGCGGTCAGCGCCGGCCGCCAAGGTGAGCAGCGCCCGGAAAGTTTTCAGGGAGCCGCCGCGGCCGTCCCGCGCCAGGGGCGGGGGCAGGGGGAAGCGAGGCGCGGGCCCCGGGCCGCCGCTCCCGGCCGGGCGCCGGGGGAGTCGGTCTTCGGGCGGCTGGGTGCGCGGCGGCAGGAGCCCGCCCCACAGCGCCAGCAGCGAGCCCAGCGCCAGCAGCCAGAGCCCCGCGGCGGCGGCGGCGGCGGCGGCGGCGTCCCGCATCCTCCTGCCCATGCTCCCCCCCCGGCCGTGCCGGGGCCGCCGCCGCTTCAAGCCGAGCCCGGGCGCCCGGGTCCCCGCGGCGAGGCGGGCCCGGCAGCGTGCTGGCTCCGGGGCTCCGGGCGCCTCAGCCTCATCGTGGCCGCGGGGCTCTGCCCGGCGCTCTGCCCGGCGCTGGGAACTCGCCGCGCCGCCGCTTCCCAGCTGCTTTTGTATTTCGCTGTGAGACCCTCGGGCGGGCGCGATTCACAGGCGCCCGGACCACGTGGGAGCGAGGGGGCTCCCCCTCCCCCTCCGCGGCCGCCGCTCCCCGCCCCCCACTACCCCCGCCCCCCACTACCCCCGCCCCCTTCCCCTCCTCTTCCCCTTAAAGCGGCGATGGCTCCTTCGGAGCGGGAGAGGCGGCTCCACTTCGGTCGGGGACTTCGGGGCCTGGTGGAAGCCGGGCTAGCGGCGCCCGCGCGGGGGCGTCGGAGGGGGCGGTGCCGAGCCAGAGCTGCGCGGGGAGAGGGAGGGACGTGCCTCTGGTCCCGGCGGGGGTCGGAGTGGTCGCCTGGTACGGGGCAGCGCCTGGCCTCCTGCAAAGTTCCGAGTGACCCCTGTCGCGCTCCGGGCGCCGCCTGGCGCGGGTTGGGCGGGTCCCTTCGCCTCGTTGGTTTCCGATGGTGTGATTCACCCTGCCTTATGTAAATCTACGGGAAGCTCCGAGCCACAGAGAATGTGACTCCAGCCCAGTTAGAGACAACTTTGAACCGACCCCCCCTTTCTGAGCGCGCCTACCACCGCGGGTCACTGCGGGCGTGTGCGCTTTGAGCTTGGTCGTTGCGTCTTCCCAAGGGACTCCCGGGGAATTAAACCTCGCTGTGCAAGTAATAGAACACCTAGGCCAGCTCCCAGCCGTTCGTTCATCCCTTCATCGAAGCTCGGTCTCAGGGCAGTAAAACCCACAGAATCTCCCCGTGCTTCTGGAGCTTACGTTCCAGGGAGAGGTTCAGGTTGCTATGAGAACATTGTAACCCAGGATCCGACCTAGTGCAGGAGGGAGAGGTGTCAGAGATTCTCTCTCCAAAGAAATGACATAATTTTGCCCAGGAGGAAACTGAGGCGGAAAAGGCTTGCTCAAATACGGCGGACTTAGCCAGTGCACAAACTAAATAAAATTCAAACTCGGACCTTTTGGCAGCAGGCCACCTGATTTTCCCTCCATCAGGAAAGCTCATTTTTTATCAAGTTGCCAGCATTTTCATTTTTTTTAACTCACTGTCATTTAGCCACCTGATTCTCCAAATGTGATTTTCAATTCAAATGAAAAAAAAATCCCCATATTACATTTGACTTGCTGGTTTAATGGTTTCAGGGAAAAATAAATGGTTGGGGGGCGGGGGGTGATGGGGAGGGTGGAGAAAAAAAAACCCAAAACAATGACAAAAGAAACCGCACCGTCTTCCAGCCACCCCTGGGTTCAAGCCACCAAGAAGGCTCTTGGGCAAGAATTGCCTTCCTCCCTTCCCTCTCTGCAGGAGTGTGTCCCAGATCCAAACCAAGATTCCCAGGTAAGACGCAAGATTGGGGGTGGAGGTGGACTCCACCTCCTGGAAGCAGGAGTTAGAAATCTGGTTTTTTTACACGTGTTTTTCTTTTTATCCCCCATCAGGTGCACATGGGGGTTTTCAACTTTATTAGTCCATCAGCTGGCACTTCTTATATTTTATTCTCCACAGAATGAGTGTTTAGAGTTATAGGGCAGACACCCTAATGTTTGTGCTTGAACAGAGGCATCAAGACCACATCTGGAGCCTTCTAGAGCTGACCCTGTGTACCCTCAAGTGTTTCCTTATTGGCTGAAGTGTGGAGTCTTTGTTGAATCTGTTCCACACCACGCAGCTGTATCATGCCTTTTTTATACATCTTATCTGATGCTGCGGTCACTATGGCTCTGATATGTAGGCATCAAAACATAGTAACTCATTAAAAGGTACTGTTCCTGCTCTGTGTGAGCTCCTCACCCTCTATGTTAACCTAGAGGGCAGGGACTAATATTTCCTAACATTTTATTTCTCTTACCACTTAACATAGTATATTACACTAAATAGGTGCTCAATAAATTGAATTTGATTTTTTATCTTTTGGTTTAACTTCTGAGCATCTTTTTTAGTAATGCAGTGCTTTTAGCTTGGGTAAACGGTAAGCAAGATCGCCACCTTGTGGGCATAAGTGGAATATCATCTAATTAGAGAAATGTGTATACATGTTTAAGAGGATGATTCGTTATTTCAGCCAAATTCTGAGCATATGACGTCGCTACCACAGCCCGTGACATGTCCTAGGTGCTATGGAGAAATCCAAAGTAGTTGGTGTCTCTGTCTCTGAATTACAACGGATAGTTCATTGTCATTGTCTGAGGAGTCCCTCTGGTCTGTTTTTTCAGGACTGCCTGGCACAGGGCCTGGCACTTACTGAGTGTTCAATAACAGTTTGCTGAGTAAATCATTGGAATGTTAATGAGATTTTCTGCAAGTGGTATGTATTGATTTGAAAAAAAACCAACTTACTACTGAAAGATACAAAATAAGAACTTTCATTTTAGCAACACCTGGGTGGCTCAGTCGGTTAAGCGGCTGCCTTCAGCTCAGGTCATGATCCCAGGGTCCTGGGATCAAGCCCCGCCTTGGGCTCCTTGCTCAGCAGGGAGCCTGCTTCTCCCTCTGCCTGCTGCTCCCCCTGCTTGTGTGCTCTCTCTCTCTCTCTTTCTGACAAATAAATAAATAAAAATCTTAAAAAAAAAAAAACCTTTCATTTTAAAAGGAAAAAAAATATTGGCGAAGGCTCCGCATAATGTAGGAAGGGGAAACAGGTGACTTTCATTTTAGGAGGGCTGGCCTCAAACACAGGTACTCCAAATCCCAGAATCTTTCCATCATGTTCCTGGTATTGATGAAGAAACTGGGTCTTAAGTTGGCTAAGATCTTACCTCTGGGAAGAGGGCCTGACCTTATCCTAGCCCTTTGCCTGCAGCCACAGGACCCAATGCACCATGTACCACAATGGGAAGCACTAATAGAAATTTGAGCAAGTGCACCGAAATACAGAAAAGCACCAAAGGACTAAAACCAAATAAAAACTAAAAAACAAACCCCAAGTGGAATGCCATTTTAAAGCAGTATTTGATTATTTTAGACAGCGTTAAAATACTGAACATGCTCGTCTGGTTTACCTGTAAGATGACAATGTTCCCACTTGCCTTAGCCTCCCAGCCTGGGACGCTCCCCTCCTCCACTCATGGCCAAGCCCCTGTAGCTCCTTGGGAGAGCACCGTTCATCACAATGTGCAACCCCTGGCCCTCCTGCCCTTCTGGCAGTGGCTTGGGGATGAGGGAAGGTGCTGCTCATCTGTCCCTACCTAGGAACCTGTTTTCACCTCGAAAACTTTCTTAACATGCCTCAGAGCTTCTCCCTGAGCCTCGACTTCCAATTGCTTCAAATTTTTCCATAGTCCCGTTGGAAGAATGATCTGACTCATTTAACAGTGCCTCCTGGGAAAGCGGGGGCGGGTGGCGTTGAGCGCTGGGAGCAGGGCAGGAGGCTCGGAGTTGGAACGTGTCCCAAGTCTGACATTTCCACATTCTGGCTGTTTCCTTTCTGGCTGGTTGTTTCCCTTCTATGAGTTTGGGTTTCCACATCTGAGAAATGAGGATAATAAATCCTGCCTACCTCACAAGGTTGTTAGGAAGTGCTAGCGAGACATTAATAGGCACTACAATGCTGGCAGCAAACACCGAGTGCTTATGATGGGCTTGGCACAGGGCTTTATCTGCTTCATCTGGCACACACACGTTTTCAACAAATAGGAATGTGCCCACTTTGCAGATGGGAACACTGAGGCTTAGCCACTGACAGGCCCACAGTCATATAGCAAGTAAACGGCCAGGCTGAGATTCCAGAATGATGGAGGACGAACCCTTG